AACTCAATGTAAATGGCTGTAGCGTTAATACGACTCAATGCAAATGGCTGTAGCGTTAACACAACTCAATGTAAATGGCTGTAGCGTTAATACGACTCAATACAAATGGCTGTAGCGTTTATACGACTCAATGCAAATGGCTGTAGCGTTAATACGACTTAATGCAAATGGCTGTAGCGTTAATACGACTCAATGTAAATGTCTGTAGCGTTAATACGACTTAATCCAAATGTCTGTAGCGTTAATACGACTTAATGCAAATGCCTGTAGCGTTAACACAACTCAATGTAAATGGCTGTAGCGTTAATTCGACTCAGTACAAATGGCTGTAGCGTTTATACGACTCAATGCAAATGGTTGTAGCGTTATTACTACTCAATGCAAATGCCAGTAGTGATGCGGGTAGGATATAGTTAGGCTAGTCAGAGTCAACATCTCCCCCTGTGACAGTCCAAAGACTCAGGGAGCGTTGATAAGTTACAATGCAAATGCCTGCAGTGATGCTTTTTTGCGGAATGTAACTCTTATCAACCATTGGTTTGACTATACAATGAATGGCAACGTATGTAATTTGATTGCAGGAGTTCTTTTGCATCACTATTTGCTAACGTACAGATAGGCTGTATCAGAATATATAGTTCGTGATATGTAGCGATAGTCGATCCATTAATATTAGTGTTCACTGAGATATTCGCTCATAAATGTAATTGTGAGTATATGTTCTCTGAGATGTTTGCTCATAGTTGTGAAGCATACTGTCTCGTAATGTACGTCTTTGTGTGGGCGATTGTACCTGGAGGGCGTTCTGGTGACACCAAATGGAGATGAAAGGTAGGTGTTTGTCACATGCTGCACTCTGAGTATGTTAGTGTACGCCACACATAGTCAATGACCTGTCACCCATTACCAGCAAGCATTCCCTCCAATGGAGTATGTCATATCTTTTCTATGTGTATGATAATCCATCATCTATGTCCAAATACCAACATGCATTTCCTTGAACGCTAGTATAGCATATGTTGTCTATGACTAGTATATCATATGTTGTCTATGACTAGTATAGCATATGTTGTCTATGACTAGTATATCATATGTTATCTATGACTAGTATATCATATGTTGTCTATGACTAGTATATCATATGTTGTTTATGACTAGTATACCATATGTTGTCTATGACTAGTATACCACATGTTGTCTGTGACTAGTATATACCATACCTTTTCTAGGTTTTTGATAGTCAATAGTCTGTCACCCATTACCAACAAGTATTTCCTTCAGTGCTACTATATCATATCGCATGTTTTTGTTTATTACCAACCATTATTTCCTTCAGTGCTAATATGTCATATTTCATGTCTTTGTCCATTGCCAACAAGTATTTCCTTCAATGCTACTATATTATATCTCATGTCTTTGTCTATGTCATTCAGTGCTACTATATCATATCTCATGTCTTTGTCTATGTCATTCAGTGCTATTATATCATATTTCATGTCTTTGTCTATGTCATTCAGTGGCCCTGAATGCGTCGGTAGAGGCACAGTCGGACTGGACACAGATGCACCACATCTGCTATTGGGAACTAATGTTCGCCAATGCGTGCGCTGGCAAATGGGACAAGGCTGGCGAATATTCCACTTTGCTATTCAAAGAATCAAAGTATGCTACAGCAAGCGAGAGTCCTTGTGCAAACACCAAACACGTTGTATCATTATAAGTGACGTGTTGTTGGCGATGTGATTTAATGTTTGCTTGGTCTGTGTACGGTGACTGTGGTGTAGATATAGGTTTAATCTGTTTTTCCCCCCTGATTTTTACTGGGTTTTAGGGTTTTAATCTCCGTTACAGATATATGTACGTATCCGTGTGATACTGATATGAATATAAAGTAGTGCCTGCTTAAATGTGTTACACGTTATCACCCATGTTCTTCACTTATAGTGGTGTCTACTAAAATGTGTTAAAACTCTATCTGGACATCACTTTCCTTCACTGATATGCATTGCTTTTAAACGTGCAGTAACACGTCTGGTTAGACCTGTCACATATCATGTCTATCTTCGCTTGCATGGGGTGGTTGTTTATGCCTTGATATATCTTGTAAGTGCATGACGGTATGTTCTCCACTCTACGCAGATGGTCAAAGTGCAACTTTAAGTACATGGAGGCAAGTTTCAAGTACATGGAATTGACTGAAGGCGGGAGAGAAATCACTGAGAAGGAGAAGGCTGATCTTCTCAAGCAATACAACGAGGTGTGTGCGGTCCTTAATAGTGTTGAGTGTTTTCACCATGAGTCAATAAG